AATACAGTAAATTTTCAAAAAGCCTAAATTCATTGAAAAATTGTCATCTTCCTCAACCATACATAATAGTTCATTATTTAAGGAACATAGAATTTATAGGAACTTATTTGAAACTTATAGTTCATAATTACAGGATATTTACAAAGAATTTTCTTGCAACCTTTTTCTGCACAGGTTTCTTTCTTCACAAATGTAATAAAACAAATACTAAATCATGTCTATTCTTAATGGCATTATCTCCAATTTTGACCTTTTTTACTCTGAGAAATATTCTGATTCCCTGTGTAGAATTTATGCTCTTACTGGACTTACAGGTATCAATAATTTCACTTAGAAATAGAAGTATTTATTACAAGCTCTCTCTTCTCTTAGAAGTGGGACAAAAAGGACTTCAAGGGACAAAGGTCACCCACTCCCATGTTTACATCCTGAACACATTTCATAGTGGTTGTCACTTAGTAGGTTTTTGTTTGAAAGTTATAGGTTGCTTAAAAAAATAATTATTTTTCTTGTTATTTACCACAAAAGCTTATTTTGTATGATGCTAATATGGTCTCATGAAGTGAACTCACAAGTTCTACAATTTTGATTGTGTGTTTTGTCCATTAAGAACAGTGTCCACATTTTAAAATAAGAGCCATTACTAATTTGAATTGTGAACACCATCTTAATAGCAATTTTACATTTATTAGCATTGATTGAAATGATAATTCTGTATAGAAAATGGGTAATTTCTGAAATACTGTAAGGTTGCATCTAGTAAATAAAGGGCTAAAGTTATCAGGAAGACCCAGATGTCCTCCTTAGAAGAAGACATTTTAAGCTTATTTCTTAACACACTTTTGTTTTAGATAACTGGCCTCTTGAGACTAGGAACTGTACTTTATTCATCATGGTTTATCCCAGTGACCAAGAGAGACCTCAACTAAGAGTCTACATCCAGGAAGGAAATTGCTGTCTCGGAGCTGTGTCTCCGGATCGAATGGCGGTTCACAGCATCAGGCTAGAAGAGAGAGAGGGCTCCAAGCTAACATGCCTATGTCACCGGGGCAACCTGTTCTATTACATTCATCCTTTTCAGGAAATGTGAACCAGATGTTCTTTGACCATGTGAGACCAAGGCTCTGCATCCAGAAGAAATCTTTGCCTTTTGTTTGTATCTGTTGCTAACACCTGCCTCATTACCTTTAACTCCCCCAAGAGCCTTCTATGTGGCATTCAGAGGAAAAAAAAAAAAAGCAGAAAAACTGACTAGGAATTGCAAGAAAGGAATTTGCCATTTTGCTGCATTTCTGACGATGATAGAGATTAGACCCTCAGTACCACCCAGGAGAGGCAACTGTGGCAAGGGTAGAACTTGTAATGCAAACTAGAGTTTATTTATGGAGCTCAACATTTATAAGCTTTCACTGTTCCCTGGCACAATGTCCTCTTTTCCTCCCCACTTTGTTCAAAGGAGCTGTCAGGTCAGGAAAGGGGAAAAATAAAACAAATGCTTTTTCTCTTTCAATGTCCCAGTGGGGGAGCCCTGCTGAAATGCCAGGCGTGCCCTGCTGCTTTCTGCATCAACAGATGGCAGAGGGCTGCTTCCCTTGTATTTGTTTCCCATTCAGCAAATTGCAGGTCACATCTGGCCTAGCCTCTGTTTGGTCTGAGAAGATGGAGTTCACATTCTTTATAGGTGGCTGGCTTAAAAAAAATAACAAAAAAAGAAAAACAATATGTGTGAAAGAGAAAGGAGAATAGAAATAAAATAGAAAGACAGATAAGCCTGTAAAAAGGTGATACGGAAATATGAACAGCTGGTATGATTTCAGCAAACCATGTAGCCAGACTCTGGCCAACAGTGAATGGAACAAAAATCGCAGAGGCAGACAAACAACCCAGGAGAGTAGAAAATCAGCTTCCAGATGTAGCAGGGAAGATACACACACAGTTCAGATTAACGCGCAGAGATGCTGTGTTTGACCCTTATTTTTCAACTCTGATTTTTAAAAGTAACATTTAGGAAAATTATTTATGCTTTAGAGTTGTAAAATACACTTCTACTATATTGCCCTAAATAACTCTAGCTCCCATTGGAAGATTGTTAAAATTGAGCACAATTCAGGTAAATGGTCATCCAGGCAAAAAATTGCAAGAGGAATCATAGTTATATGCTTTGAGGCAGTAAGAATGTTCCTGAGTAAAATCCTGGTGGATACAGAGAGCACATTGAGAGCTGTCAGAAGGGAGGGATCCGGGACTGAGTGAGAAGGGTTAAGAGATTAAGCAAAGAAAAAATGGGAGGCATGCCATGGATACAGACAACAGCATGGTGATTGCCAGAGAGGAAAAGGATGGGGGGAGGTTGAAGAAGGTAAAGCGGGGATAAATGGTAATGAGAGGAGATTTGATTTGGGGTAGTGAACACACAATACAATATACAGATGATGTATTATAGAATTGTATGCCTGAAACCTGTATAATTTTATTAACCAATGTCACCCCAATAAATGTAATTTTAAAGAGTCACTTCTCTCATAAAAAAAGAAATGGCACTCAAATGCCTGCAATAATTATCACTTGGGGTTTTAAATACGTAGACATCAGAGCCTCAGCCCTAGTTAGCTCCCCTCTTGTGTTAGGAGCCACGTCTGTCCTCCTCTGGTGTATAACTTTCAATCTGACTTCAGATGCCTCATCTTCCATGAAATCACAATAATTCATAAAATAAAACCCTTCAGACATAGCCCCATGTTCTCTCCACTTCTAAATATGTCTTCCTTTTTTCAACCTACATTTTTTCTCTTTCTTCACCGTTATTTTTGTCTCTCAATTTTCTTACTGTATGTCTATCTCTATTTTGTCCTTCCTCTCGGGATGCAGAGTGGCAGGCATGAGAATCAAGTGGGCAGGCCAGTGAGAGAATGAGTACCCATTTACATCAGGAAAGGTAAAGCGAAATTTGTTATAGTATGTATGCATTCTTAGCCACTTAACATGTGTCACATCGTGCTGCTACTTTTATTAGTTACCTAACACTTTATGTGTTACTGTTAACATTGTTAATATTGTATCCCTAATACTGTATTTACCTTAAGTCTCATGTATTTTTTAAGTTTTATTTTTCAACAGTTTTAGATTGAGAGAAATTATGAAGAAAGTGGAGAGAATTCCTACATACACCAAACTTAATTTCCCTTATTACTTATATCTTACTTTATTGAGGTATATTTGTCACATATTTAAACCAGTGTTGCTATATTATTATTAAATATAATCTATATTTTATTTAGATTTCCTTAGCTTTCCCTAATGTTTTTTTTCTGTTTCAATATCCCTTCTAGAAGACCACATTGCATTTAATTGGTATGTGTCCTTAGGTTCCTATTGACTGACTATTCCTTAGACTTTCTTTGTATTTTACATCTTTTACAGTGGACAGGAGTATTGGTCAAGTGTTCATAGAATATCCTTTAATTAAAATGTATCTGATGTTCTCTCAAGATGAGACTGGGAGAATGAGTTTTGGGAGGAAGACCACACAGGTAAAGTGTCATGTCATCACATTATGGCAAGGGTGCTTGAAATTATCACAATTTATGACAGTTTTTATAAACCTTGATCACCCGGATGAGGTCGGGTCTGTCAGTTTTTTCCCAATCTAAAGTTACTCTTGTATCTCCCTTTTCATACTGTACTCATCCGAAAGTACTATGTGCATACTAAACACTCCCCACACCAACGGAGTGAAAACCACCTCCTTAAGGTTGGGGGGCAAAGTACCTACATAGATTGTTTGGAATTCTACAAAAGAGATCATTGTTTGTTTGTTTGTTTGTTTATTATATTTGTGTATGTGTCTGTGTGTGTTTATGGCATCTCCTTACTTTCTGGCACTATGATGCTCCAGGTTCATCTTGTATATTTCCTCTCCAGTCCTAGAATTAGTCACTCTCCAAGGAGACCTGGATCCTTTTATATAAGAATGGTATTAGGAAACAAGATCTGGGTGTCAGGTGTGCTTGTTCCCACTGGGGTGTCCTTTTCTCTGGGACTTCCCAGGGGAGAGAGCAAGGTATGAGTGTATACTCACCTGTGTATGTGCACATATTTATAAATATGCATATGTGCAAGCATTTGTATCTACACTAAGCAAAACATGGGTTCAAAATGATGTCCTCAACTGTAATGCATTAGCAAGTGTATCATTTTAGCCTCCTTCACAGGTGTATAACTTCCCAGTACATTAGTAAGAAATTGGGTTCCTGCCATGTGACATTCATTTACTTAACTGTTCATTTCCAGCATACATGTGGAGCAGAATCAGAAACGTTAACTCAATGTATGCATGGAGAATAATTTTATCACCTAGATTGCAGTCTTTCTGTATATTCTTTTTTTCCTTTATTCTTACAAACTTCATTTATTTCCAGAGTTACTTGGGTCAAGAACTATGTATTCCACCACCTTTAGTTATATTATTTTGTACATTGCAATGCAGTTAGATTGTTTTATCATAATTTGAATTCCATTTTGCAGGCCCGAATCTCCTACATAATTTTTAAAAATGTGTACTTAGATTGAAATTCACTCTATGTGCTGTAAAGTTCTATGACTTTTGACAAATGCATTGTATCATATATCTGTAATTACAGGCTCATACTTAGATTCATCACCCTAACAAACCTCCTGTCCCCCCACTTAACACTACCTCTGTCACCCGGAATTTCCTGGCAATTACTGATATTTTTACTGTGTCTATAGTTTTATACTTTCCAGAATATCATTTAGTAAGAATTGTATATTATGAAACCTCAGATGGAATTCTTACATGTAGCAATGTGCATTTAAGATTCGTCTCTAGCTAGCATTTTGGAAAAACACATTCTTGATATAATTTTTGATTTTTCAAATTTTCTAAAATAAACAGATATTTGTTTTTCTTTCTTTTCTTTTCTTTTTCTTTTTTTCTTTTCCTTTTATTTTTAATTTTCTTTCTTTCTTTTTTTTTTTGCCAGGGGAGAGCACAAATGCAGTCCCCCAGTACCACAGATTATGCAGTCGAGTTTTCCACATTTGGGGAAACCGTAGGGATCAGCACACCCGAAGCGCAATGGATAAGCCTCACCCTGGGAAAACCACCTTCATGATCATGGTGTCTCCCCTGCCAAGTAAGTATAACAGGTGTTATTTTTATAATATCAAATAAAGTTATTAAACCAGTAAAAAAATAGATTTGTCCTTGTCTTTTGTAGCTTGTTGGCTCACATTTTAAAATATCTGAAAAAATACTATCTCATAGGGATCTACCAGTTGTTTATCCACCCACTTATTGAAAGATAACTTCATTGTTCCATTTTTTTGTCAATCATAAATAAAGTTGTTATAAACATTCAGAAAGAGGTTTTTATATTAACACACATATCCAGATAAGTTTGGTAAATTACAGGATCAAGGAAAATTTTCTTTATTCCCTGTCAATATGTATTGTCTATTATTTTATTTTCTTGCTCCATTGTACCAGCTAGAACTTTCAGTATTAAGTTGAGTTGAGTGTTAAGAGATTCTTTGCTTTCTCTCAATTGCAGGGATATAGCATCAAGTCTCTCAGTAGCTGTTGGTTTTTTGGTAGATATTTATCGTCCAGTTCGGTAAGTTATCTTCTTTTTTTATTTTTTGGAGATTTTTTTTTTATTATTATGAAGGGATGTTGAATTTTTTCAAGTACTTTTTCTGTATCAATTGACATGATTTATGATTTTTCTTCAATAAATTCTTGATGTGGTAAATTACATTGATTTCAAATGTTGAACCAAACTTGCATATACGGAATAAATCCATTTGACCATGGCATATAATTCATTTCATTCATTATTGGAAATCTGGGAAACACACTGCAGAATTGTTCCATAAAAAAATACAAGGAAGTTATTATATTGATCACAATGCCTCAGGGCTTTCCCTGAGGTCACTATTTCCTTTGCATTATGTGTCTGCCACAAGATGCCCATGTTAAAAAGGGCCTTTAGACACAGAACAAACCAAGTCATTAGCTATGAGATACACTTGCTCATACTGGAATTGAGCTTGAATTGGATATGAGTGAGGCACTAGCAGCACCTAATATGGTTACGGTCTTTTATGCTACGCATGAAAATCCATACTATTTTTAACTACTGACTATCTTTCTTATTTCTTTTTTAAAAAAATATTTTATTTATGTATTTTTAGAGAGGGGAAAGGAGAGAGAAAGAGAGGGAGAGAAACATCAATATGTGGTTAAATATCACGTGCCCTCTGCTGGGGACTTGGCCCGCAATTCAGTCAGGTACCCTGACTAGATATCAAGCCAGAGACCCTTTGGTTCATAGTGGCAGCGCTTAATCTACTGAGCCGCACCAACTAGGACATTATTTCTTATTTAATTATTATGCTTCAACTCATCTTTTATAGCTCATCTAAATACATACCTCTTCAACAATTCTTCACAATATAATAATATCCAATGTAAGTGTCTTAATTTTTCAGAATAAGATAGAGTATGAGTGTCTTAACACCCTGGACTTTTCTATAACATTTAAATTACTGGATTTTAATAACAAATTAACTTTTTTCCCAGCCAACTTGACTCTAAGTTCCTTAAAGGCAGGGGCACTTTTGCTGTTTCCCTAGAGTTTTTTATGGTATTTGGCACATAGCTTCTTCTCAACAAGTTAGTTAGAGAGATCTTAATTTTTAAATGCCTAATCTGACAAACCTTTGAGTACAATCATGGCTGATTAAAATGACATTCACTGAATGCTTAATAAAATACATATTCTAAGTCAGAATGTTTGCCTTTGTTCACAAATGAGCGTATATGCACTCCAATAAAATGTTTTTCTCTTTAGTGATTATGTTTAACAACCATAAAAATGACTCAATAATAAAAAGGAACTTTCTAAGCAATATAAAAGGGATAATTTGGAGCTTTTTTTCCTTTATCATTCTCTATGTTACTCTCCATTCGAAGTATACACTCCCCTTTGTATCATTTTATTCTATGTTATGCCATTTATATCATTTCCAAAAGTTGAGATTAGTTCATGCTAAGTCTTCTTTGTTGTGCACAGGAGTAAAAAGTGGCATGAAAGCTTCAACCCAGCCATTATCTTAGGTTCTCTTATAAGTATAGAAACTCTCTACATTTCATCAGTGAAAATGTCATATTAAAAGATGTGATTACTATCACTCTAGCATTTACTAGTTTTTTGAATAAAACACTATAAAATAAAGTAACACAATCTTCTCTAAGATAGAGCTGTAGATGATATACATCCTTTTGAAGCATGAGCCAAGACCAACCATTTGCATGGAAAAGCAGCTTGGGTGAGCCCATAAGTTGGATGGGGTGAAGTCTCTGGGTATACCAAGGTGGGTCAAACAGTATTAGCCAGGTTGATGGAGTCTCAGATATGGTACCAGATTGCTGGTTGTGTAGGGGGAGAGTTTACACAAGGGACAATGACCTTTGCTCACCCTGATACTAGATACTTCGGTTCCTCCCTTTATGCCAATGGTGCCTTTCAAGCTGCTACCTTGGTGCTGGAGCTCTGAGAGAGTGAACTGGAGTAAGTAAGTCCATGTATGTGTTTTTTAAGAGGAACTGCTTGGGTCTCCAGAATTTTCTTCCATTGACTCATTCCCTACTGGTTTTTGCAGCCAGAAGTTGTGGGGATTTGTCTTCCCGGCACTGGAACCCTGGGCTGGGGGGTATTTTGTAAGGATGGGACTCCTTGCTCCCATAGTGTTCCTCCAGAATTTTTATCCACCACACATGGATGCGTTGCAGCCCATTCCACATCTGCACCCCACTACCACTCTAGATGGATGTGATTTCTTTAATTCCATAGTTATCAGACTTCCATTCAACTCAATTTCTAACAGTTCTGAATTATGGTTGTTCTGTATTTTAGTTGTAGTTTTGATGTGTTTGTGTGAAGAAGCAAGCCTACACTGCCATCTTGACCCGAGGACCTCCATGTTGTTGTTGTTTTTGTTTTTTAAATACAGTCAGAGTCATCTTTCCTTGAGTTGTGGAAATGAAACTTTTAAAATATAAAGAAGGATTTGCCAAATCTTGATGAGAGATAGACTTAGATATTTTCTTCATATCTTTGGTTTTTATTTTACATATACTCAGTTATTCAATCCTGACAATTTATTTCTCTTTAGATGTTTAAAATTATCTAATAAAGCTTAAATTTAGTACCATATTTTAACATTAGTTGCCACATACTTTGTTGCAGAGTCCTCCAAAATTAGTGAATAAATGAAGTATACCATTAAATGTATAAATATATATTTAGTTCATACATTCTGCTTCTCAGATAAGAAATCGTACATTGTGTTCTCTCACAGGAAAAGAAAGAGAGAGATTCTTCTGTAAATATTTAGCTTCCATTTCTAACCTCTTATATTTTCTAAGACTAAGATTCTAAAGTATTATAACTATGAATTCTATTAGAAACTAAAGGCTACATTGCAAGTATACATTAACGTATGTTCAATATTATTCTTTACTCAGTGGAAAATTAGTAGGTTTACTTATAATAATCAATTTATAAAGTTAATACTATATATATATATATATATATATATATATATATATAAATTACTTCATTCAATTTGGGTAGATTGTCTACAAATGTGGCAACCAAAATTCTTTCCATCGTTGTGTTTTCTGCCTTTTCTTCAATCAGAAGATGGAAGCTACCTACACCAGTTGAACCTGGGATGGCCTTATGACTTGCTTTGACCATCAGAATGTGGTAGAAATGATGAAGTGTGAGTTTCAAACCTAGGTCTTAAGAGGCCTAGTAACTTCCCTTTCGCTGTCTGAAACTCAGAAAACATCCAGTAAGGAAGCTTGTCTAGATCTCTGGAGGATGAAAATCCACATGAAAGATCAATGCAGTGCCTCAGTCTATAGCTACCATAAATGCCAGGTGTGAAAATAAGACCATTTTAAGATTGCCAGGACCAGCTTTTCCCATGGACAACTTCACAAATGACCAAAAGAGAACAAAGAAGAATGTCCCTGCTGAGACCATTCAATCATCAGAGTCATAAAAAAACATAAATTGTTTTACTTTATGCCACTTTATTTTATGGTGACTTTTTTTGAAATAACATGAAACTGATACAAAGATGAAGGAGAAAAACAAAAAATGATCTAAAATTAACTCATTTTAGTTGATAGGAAGCATCACAGATTTTAGATTACTTTCTGTCACATCACTTTCTATTTATATCTTCCCATAATTAAGTTTTAAACAATTTTTTTAGCAAAGTAAGACCTAGCTTTGAAACTAAATGGTAAGTTCATTTTATATGAAAAGAGTTTGAAAATAATATATGATATGTACAAAACTAAAAAACATGTTGCTAAAGCTTACGGCAAATTTTATTCTGAGCTACTTAAAACAAAGACCTGTTTAACACTGCCCCCAGTGATACACGGTGAGTTGAATGCCTCCTGATCATGAAGCCACTCCTGGAAACATGTTTCTATCAGAGAAATTTATATTAGGAAGAGGAGACATGCCATATCTTTAAAACCTCATTCAGAGGCATTATATCATTAAAGTATTATCTTTATCAAATTTCAAAATAAATTTTACAGTAAAATTTTATCTCTACCGATCTGTCACAGCAATTAGTGATGGATTATATTGTAGTAATCAACATGAACACTTTCACTAAAAGTTGTTTCATTCCATAATACTATTCAGTATGAAATGGAGATTTACATTGGTTTATAATTTAAACATTGAACAGAAAATTTCAAACTTGTTCTGGTCTTTGGGCAAACACCACCTGTCCTTCTCAAACCTGGATGTTCATCAAAGCTTACTACAGAAAAATAACACCTGTGAGGTGTGTGGTCTGATCCGCCCTCAAACTTTAAACCACTGCCTTATACAATGGATATATCGCTTCACTGATAAAAATCATAATTTTTGTGGGTCTTGGGTAATACCATGAACTATGCATCCCATTTCCACCTTGGCGGCCACATGCTGCATTCTGGCTTTCTCAAGGTTAGCGTCACGTTGTGCCTCTTTCCACCTCCAGAGTGTCTCCCATTGTACCCCTTGGTACAGCTGATTCCAATTCCTCTAGGGTTTTTGTAAAAAA